CCCGCTATGCCTTGACTGTTCAGTGAGATATGCCGCAACTCTGCCACCACAGCATACTCCCTTGAGCTCTTTACCGTAGCTACCCTGGAGGCCAGCTTCTATGAAATCCACAGTTACCCTCACGCACTGAGGCCTGCTGGCTCTAGTGCTGAGGACAGGCTAGGCTCTCGGGCCTGAACTGAGGTTGGAACGCGGGCCCTTGCGCTGGAGTTTCAGAAACGTGGTGAACCTCGGCGGACTACAACTGAGTGTACAAGATCAGGAGCACCCACCCAGATCCTCCGTATTTCCCGAAGGTAGTGTCATGGGGCTCAATCTCAGAAAGACTTTAGAGCCACCTAAGAACCGGCCTTGGTTCCACTCTCCAGTCCCCAGAGGTCTACAGAACCCACAGAATAACACAGAAAGACTTGTTCCGTGGCTGGGTTTTGGTCATTTCCCTAGTATAGTACAATCAGGACTTGTCCTGTCTCCCTGCTCTCAATTGGCTGTCTTAGCTTCTACATACTCTGTTCCCCAGGCAGGCCCCAGTTCCTGCCTAGGCAAATCCTGTGTCCTCAGTTCCCTGATTGAAGCAACAGCTGAGGTGTGGTGGAGGCTGAAGGTGTGTGTCCGTCCCATCCCGCCCCCGCCCCCACCGCCATCCTCCAAGCTCAGAGTCGGAGAACCAGTTTCTCTAGTTAACTGGATAGTATGGTCATCTTCCGAATCCTGGGCTTCTACAGCAAGCTGGAGGAGGGTCACCATACACTCTGCTACCTAGTGCACTGTCGTTCAGAGGCCAAGACCATAGAGAATGTGGAATGGAGAGTCTCACTAGTCATTGTCTGTATATGAGGAGAGTCTCACTAGACATTGTATACGAGGAAATTGTGAAAGTGGGGTGTGTGTGTGTGTGTGTGTGTGTGTGTGTGTGTGTGGCGGGAAGGGAATAAAGCTAAAGGGAGCTGCTGAAATGAGACAACCACTTCACACCCATTTAATATAATCAGATTTAAGATCCATAAGCCAAAGTCTTGGCAAAGACATGGAGCAAGTGATTCAACAAACACGGCTAGAGGGGAAGTAAAATGATTAGATGGTGATTTGAGAAGGCAATTTCACCTTTTCTCTGGATGTTAAACACATTTGTTCTATGACTCAACAATTCTGCTTTCAGGACTTTAGCCTGAAGAAACAAGTGAATGTCTTCACACCAAGCCACAAGTTTTGTTTGTTTGCTTGCATTTTGTTGTTTTGACACAAGAGCTCTCTACATAGCCCTGGCTGTCTGAGAACTCACACTGTAGACCAGGCTAGCTCAGACTCACAGATTCACTTGCCTTTGCCTCCTGAGCGCTTGGATTAAAGTCGTGTGCCACCGTGCCCAGCTCAAAGTCATGTTTGAAGATGTGCAGGATAGCTTGATTAAAATAGCCCAAACCAGAAGTCACTCACATGTGCACCAACAGGTGAGTGGGTACAAGGCATTCACTCGCAGTCAAAGGAAAGTGCCATTTGAATCTCAGAGACATAATAGTCAAAGACAGAATCTTTCACACATGATTCTTCTCCGTGATAGGATAGACAAGACTCTGATGGTTCTGAATTGTACTCTATTGCCAAACATCAACTCCAGGAAGCAGTCAGTTGGTTGCCAGGAAACAGGGCTCAAGTCAATGGTTAATGAAAAGAAGCATAGAGAAACATTTGTTGTTAGTCAGAAAACAAGTCTCAAACCTGAAGTGGATGTGGTTACGTGCCTCATATTTTATCCCACTACACTAAGCTGTGGGAGTAAATGAATTTGAGTGCATACTTATCATTTGACAATAAAGCTCCACAAAATAAGACAAGTTCTGAAATCTACAAAGTCCACTGCTAACACTCCGTTCATCTGAAATATGCTTGCAATGAGACTCAGGCTCCAGCAGAACCAGCCTGCAGTTGTGGAACTTTATCTTTGTCTGCCCTCTGGTGTCCAAGGTGAGCAATGCAAGAGTCGTCACTTCGTGATGTCCTGTGGTTGGTTTTCAATGCAGTTTACGGAAAAAAGACAGACTCGGAGCACCTGGAAAACTAGAACTCTGAAAAGGTAGTTTCCCGGAGGCAAAAAGCTATGGCTATCTCAGGTCTATAGGCAGAAGGATCCAGCTGTGTGGTGACAGAGATGAAATGTCTTAGGAAAACACTTGCAGACAACACAATTTGGCACCCTTATAGAAAGACAAAGTAGAAGGGAGGGGTTTCGTTTTTCTTTGCTTAGAGGACAAATAAAAAAAACTTATGGATGAAAATAAGTTAAGAATGGAAATTAATGACGTGGGGGACCAAGGATAATAGGGGTGTCATAAGAGCCATAGGTGTGTAGGGAATTTTAAAAAGCATAAGGATACATGGATAGGTACTCAAGGAGACAGGGGACAGCAGTCTCTTCTGATGGGCATGCCTGGGCTTTCTGACACCCCCATTCTCATTTTGGAAACCCACAGTCAAACATCTTTACGGTATAGATGGGATCTCTGTCCACGAAACTTATGAAACACCAATTATGCTTGGCATTTGTCACAACAAGAGACAACTTGCTGAGATGGTCGTTTAGAGAATCTCCTCAATAATGCTTCATCCTCTATGATATGAGAAAGTTGTGACATGCTGTGCGGTGAAGTGAGCTGTCCTGAGTGAAGTCCAGCTCTAGAAAGTTTGTGACCATACTGTGGAAAATAAACATAAGTGCTCGCTTATCCTGGACATTCACAGAAGACTCTACCAACAAGATGGTCCCTGTGAAACCAAGCCTGAATGGGGCGGAGAGGATGGGACCCAACTCTGCCCTCTAGTGGCTGTAAATGATTCTGACCACAGCAGTCACAGTCAAAGATTTTTCTAAGCAGGGAACAGGATTGGGTCAGGCTGCCGTTTCTGCCTCCCAAGGCACTGGTGACCTCCATAGCCTGGTTGACAGTGGGCAAAAGAGAAAGTCTGGTAGGGAGAGGCTAAGGGATAAAGTAAGAGCTGCCTCCTTAGGGTAGGTCAGATTCAAGTGGCCTAGCCGGGGTCACCAGGGTACACATTAGGATGCCCTGTACACACACCCTGGACATAGAGCCATCCATGCTCAGCTATTGCCCTGGAAGTCAAGCCATTCTTTTGCCCCAGGTCCAAGTCGAGTACATGGGGAACCTAGTGCAGGTGTGGAGTGTGGGGCCAGGAGTCTCTGTACCTTCCTGGACAAGGAACCTTGCTGGGAGCCCTTTTCATCAGTCAGTCAATGCCAGAGAGCACATTCAGAACCAAATGCCAGAGGGAAGGCATTATTACCATCATTATCCCATGGTGAATAACAGCTCCAACCACTTCCACAGCCACTCACAGAGAATGAAAATGTCCCAACCCTCACCCACCCACCCTCACCCAGAGGTGTCTAACCGCCAAGTTCAGCACTCCTCAGAGCTCCTTGTGCTTGACTGGATCCTGTGTTGGATGTCCTCAGAAATATCCAACCCTCCTAATGCTACAAGAGACCCTGAATCTGTAAACATTTTTGGCAGTTTTTTGGGGTGGGAATAAACACTATACCCTAGCGCTCTCTCTCTCTCTCTCTCTCTCTCTCTCTCTCTCTCTCTCTCTCCCTCTCTCCATGGTGAATCTTTCTGTCTCTCATCTGCCATGGTCTCCCACCCGCAAGGGAACCTGCCAAGGCCTTTGGTGGCCCACCGCTGCCCCTCGTGGGACTGGCCTCAGGTCACCTGCGTTATGTTTATAAATGATAACATGCACTATCCCCAATCATCTACCCTCTACACGCTCCTCCCGGGGTGCATCCTCACCCTCAGGCTCAGCCTTTGATTCTACACAATTGTGTAATTCTTATTCAAGTCCCTGTGCTCTGCAAAGGTCTCCTCCTGCACTGGGAAGAGGAGAATCAAAGGCCCACATACCACAGCATTTAAACAGGCAGAAAGTCTGTCTGGCCACATTGCATTAACATCAGCATCTTGGTCTGTGTCTGTACTGTCGTTAGGCATGCTGTGTCTCACAGCATATCAAGGCCTCCTCCAGAAGTTTGACCCAGACACTGTAGGCTGAGCACACGGTGTGCCTGGCAAGAACATTGTGCCTGCAGGAGAGTTCCTGAATAGGCTAAGGTCACAGGCTGCAGTGCACCTCTGACCAGCAAGCAGGGGAGAGCCTCCTTCATTAGGTCCTTTAAGACATCAGGAACCTTTTTCCTAAGTCTTGAGTCCTTGTTTTAACTTCCCCTGTAATCACATTCCCACTGTGGGGTTTTGACTGGAAAGAAGAGTGCAGGAAGCTGTAAGTAGTACATTCTCGGGCCCCAGATGGAGAATAGAGCAGACCTTCGGGGAATTTGATCTGGGTAAGGAGAACTGCACGTGCACACACAGCGAGAGCTCAGTGGAGGGGGGGGGGAGCTCTTCCCTCAAAAAATCCTTTTTGCTTTCAGGACTCATAGTTTTCGGGCTCCACCTTCAAGTATACACCATCTTTTCTATTTTAGTTCCTAGTCTGAGAGACTATATCGGCCCTCCCCAACTCATACGTAAATATGACGTTTTCAAGTTCATGATTGCTCGTCTACTTTAAAAGCATGTAATTAGTGCCTGTCGATCCCTGTTCGGGGAAACCAGCGTGACTTTTGTGGATCTACGGTTCCGAGATAGCCGGAGAGCGAATTTGAGCGTACGAAAGCCCTTTCGTCCTATCCTCCTGAAGGGGGTGGTATGGGTTCAGTCTCAAGGAGCTTTTAGTGCCCTTGTCAAACGGTATTGGCTTCTGCGTTCCAGCTCCAAACAGGATCGCACGGCCAAGAGCCGCGGGAGTCTCTTCTGATACCCTGGCGAGAGCTACCAGCACTTTCCCGGCTCCGCGCAGGCGGCACGGCAATATTTTGCAAACTACCGGTCGAATCCCGGGAGCATGGCAGGTCCCTTGCGCGACCCCGTAGTCACACCACGCCCTCGCCTCATTCCCAGGAAGTGCGCCCGTAGGAGCGGAAGTACACACCACCAGGGGGTTGTGGGAACCGCAGTTCCGGGATGGTGGGCGGCGGTGGCGGAGGTGGCGGCGGTGGGCGCGGCGGGCTTCTCGAGAACGCCAACCCCCTCATCTATGAGCGCTCCGGGGAGCGGCCAGTGACGGCGGGCGAGGAAGACGAACAGGTGCCCGACAGCATCGATGCCCGCGAGATCTTCGATATCCGCCGCTGCTGGGCGCTGGCGGGACGGTGGGGGCTTGGGGTACCGGGAAGAAGTGATGTGCACCACACGCTGGTGGAGGGGTGTCCCGGTTAGGCATGCCTGCGGAGGTTCTGAGTGGGCCAAAACTTAGAGTCCCTTTTCCTTCACTTGGCACATCTCATTCGGTCCATTAATGACCCCGAGCATCCGCTGACACTAGAGGAATTGAACGTAGTAGAGCAAGTTCGGATTCAGGTGAGTCACCGGCAGCATCAGAGTGTGGGAGCTTGTTCAGATAGTTAAAAAAAGGTTCCGTTATACATTAGAGGCTGGCGTTCTCCATTCACAAACGGCGAAGAGGTTGTTTTTCCACTTTATGGCTGTTATTAAAACTGAAGCCCATAAAAGTTAGGTGACTTGGCCAAATCAATAAACTAAAGAGAGGGTCTCTGTGCTAGGGGCGGTCGTGTGATTTTTCCAATCTCCCTTGTCAACCCAGGTTAGCGACCCCGAGAGCACAGTGGCCGTGGCTTTCACACCCACCATTCCACACTGCAGCATGGCCACGCTTATTGGCCTGTCTATCAAAGTCAAGCTTCTGCGGTCCCTTCCCCAGCGTTTCAAGGTCAGTTGGAGTCGAGCCTAAGGGTGAAACAGCTACTCAGGAGAGGGGACGTCAGAGTGGAGACTGGAAGGATCCCAACTCGCAGAGATGAACTGCGAGGAAACGCCAAGCTGATGTGACAAGAAATACTCCAGAAAATAGTGAGGAGTGTGGCAGAAAGGGAAGCCATAGATGGGCCTTGCTGGAGGCACTGGCAGACCTTTAAGTCAATAGCAGCTGACAGGGTCCCTGGGTAGAAGTGGATGGATGGCAGGTGGGCTTGGGGTGGGACAGAAGGGCCAGGATAGAAGAGTGATTAGAAGGAAGGTAGGGAAATGGTGTCCAGAGGGAAGGGACCCGCCCCCTCTTGAAAAAGGACAAACGCATAAGTGCTCAGGCCCAGGTTGTCTTTCTCCCAGATGGATGTGCACATTACACCCGGGACCCACGCCTCGGAGCATGCAGGTTAGTGTGAGCTGCTGGGGAAGTTGATTCCCCCCGCCCCCGGGCCCCAGCTGTGTGAGACTTGTCCTTTGCAACGGCAGTTTATAAGGAAGGTTAGGACTAGGGGGTCTAAGTGAATAAAATTGCCAGACTCCAGCCTAGACCAAACTGGCCTGACTTAAATCTCCCGCTTCCCATCAACTTTCCTCCCATGGTCCCCAAGGACATTGGGTCAGGCTTCAGGGAATACTGGAGACCGACTGAGCAGTCCCTGGAGGTATGGGATATTCCGGACAAGAGAGTGTGGGCACAGGTGATAAGGATATCCTGATCAAGGCTTGGAGTCCTGCGAAGGTGATAAAGGACCTTCATTGGTAGAGATAGAATCTGTACCGAGGCTAGCAGCCTGGCTAGAGTTGCTTTAACCCTGTTTTTCCACCCCTCTTTCCTACCTAGTGAACAAACAGCTTGCAGATAAGGAGCGAGTGGCAGCCGCCCTGGAGAATACCCACCTACTAGAGGTCGTTAATCAGTGTCTATCTGCCCGCTCGTGAGCCAGGCTTTTGACCACCAGCCTGCACACAGGTGTCCTGGCCTCAGCTCCACCAAGAGCTTGTGGCTTTGTTTTCTTGAATCACTGACAATGAGAAACTAACATTTTTCATTTTGTAATAAACCCTTAATTTATATTCATTTCCCAGCATGCCTCAGCATCTTTCATGATGGAGTCATTTGTGGTCGTAGAGGTAGTGGGTGCCTTTGAAGGGTGAGTCCGTGAGGTGCCCCCATTATTTCGTATTTCTCCCAGTGGGGCTGGAAAGATAGCTCAGCAGTTAAAAACGCTTAACTGCTCTTAAAGAGGGCCTGGGTTAGGTTCCAAGCACCCACATGGAGGCTTAAGAACAATTTGTAGCTTCAGTTCCAGGGGATCCAACGTCCATAGGAACCAAGCTCACATATGGTACACATACATGCATACATTCAGGCAAATACTCTTACACATAAAATAAATCAGTAAGCTAGGTATGGTGGTGCACACTTTAGTTCCAGCCCTCAGGGAACTGAGGCAGGCAGATCTCTGCTTTCTGAGGCCAGCCTGGTCTACATAAAGAATTTCAGGATAACTAAGGCTATAGAGAGAGACCCTATCACAAACAAATGAAAATAAATCTTTTTTTTTAATTTTTTTTAGCTCTTCCAATGTTTCAGTTAGCAAAAGTTGCAAACGTAAAAAAAATTTTTTTAAAAAATTTCTTGAAATATTTAAATATACCTGAATAGCCAAGCCACCAATGGGTTGGCTCAGTAGATTCAGTTGACCTGTTGTGACACTGGCCTTACTTGTGTGTGCTTATAGAACTATTTCTACAGAAACATAAAGAACCATGTCCTAAGTTGATAGACGTCTGTTGTCTCAGTTTCTTTCCTGGTTGCTGTTGTAAGACATCATCACTATGGCACCTTATAAAAGAAATATTTATTTTAGGGCTTACAGTTTGAGAGGGCTAGAGACCATGATGGCAGAGCAATGGCATGGCAGCAGGAACAGCTAAGAGCTCACATCTTTATCCACAAGTTGGAGTCAGAGAGAGGGGGACACTGGAATAGTGAGTCTTTTGAAACCTCAAGGCCTACCCCCAGTAAGACACCTCCTGCAATAAGTCCACCCCTCCTAATTATTCCTAGTTCTACCAACTGGAAACCAAATGTTCATATATGTATATATATATATATATATATATATATATATATATATATGCATCTTTAGGGGTCCTTATTCAAACTACTACCACAACTATATAACACAGTTCTTTATCTGGCCAAAAATTGAGCCATTCTGATCTGAGAATGGAAGTGCATGCCTGTAATTTCACTTGGGAGGTGGAGACAGAAGGATCAGAAGTTCAAGGCCAGCCTTAGCTGCTTAGGGAGTTTAATGTTAGTTTGGGCTATTACATGAGACTGTCTCAAAACAAAAAATTAATCTCCAATATCTAGTCCTGTGTGAATTTTCCAGAAGCAGCACTTAGATCTTTACTATGTGTCTATATGTTGTGTTTGGTTCTCTTTATCTTCTAAGATTTTCTCTCTCCTTCTTCCCACTGGGAGTCGGTTTTCCATAACTACATACATAAAGTAATTTATGAAGAAAGCAAGTTTGGGGGCTGGAGAGACGTTCTTCCAGATCTGAGTTTGGTTCCCAGCACCCATATCAAATACTCAGACACACCTGTAACTCCAGCTCCAGAGGACCCAGCACCCTCTTCTTGCCTCCGCAGGCACTCAGCACACAATGTGGCATATGCACACACATACATATAAATAAAAAACAAGTTAGGTTTTGTTTTGATTTCCTTTTTTTAGAAGTAAAGAGGACTGGAGAGATAACTCAGCCGTTCACAGTACTTGTTCCTCTTGCAGAGGACCCAGGTTCAATTACTGGCACCTACATGGTGGCTCACAAGCATCCATAACTCCAGTTCCAGAGAATCTGATGCCCCCTTTCTGACCTCTGCAGACACCAGGCATGCCTGTGATGCATAGGCATACATGCTGGCCAAATTCATAACTCTTTAAAAAAATAAACTTTAAAAAGTAGATTTATTTTGTCTCATTGCTGTGGAGGTTGTAGTTCATTGTAATCGGTGCTGTTGTTTTAGGGCCTGTGGTGTAGCAGCGCATTGCTGCAGAGAATGTGGCAGAGAAAAAAGGTTGCAGTCAAGTGCATGTTCCTGAAGAGCTCCCGCTGAGCACGACCTCCACCTCCTCCCTGTAGCTCCATTTGAAAGAATGAGCCTTTGACACCTGGACCTTAGGAATGTTTTCAGAGCCAGGCTATAGCCTCCACCCTATACATCTTAACTCTTGACCTAAAAAGAAAGAGAGGAAAAAAATCCAAGAGAGTAATTTTAGGCAAGTCCCACCATGTAGTGTGTGTCTTTGTCCCCTGGAGGTTAAGCTGAAGGCCCAAATGAGCTCAGGCTTGAGGGTTTGGCCAGGAGTGGTGTGTGTGCTGTGACATTAACCTGTACATAGGATACCTTTGCCCACTGGTAGTGATGCTTAGCCTAGTGCCCAGGTTAAAATAGCAATACTCATTTTCTCTCCTGAAAGGGTCCTGGGGAATCCTCACCATCCATCCTTCAGGTGTTTGTGTTACCCCAGGTGCTGGGTAAGAGAAGCTCAGCTCTATAAAATGATAAAATGTCAGGTGCTTCTGCCTCCTGTTGGCCCTGTGCACTGATTGCACTTTGTCATCTCGAGAGAGACCATTGATCTCAGATCTTAGCCATTTGGAAGCTCTTTCCCAGGACTGCCTCGGGATTTCCTGTTTCAGTCTCCTCTCTGATGGGACTTCCCACCGCTATGGGAGCCCAGACATGGCTATGAGCGATGGCCTCATTATCAGAGAGCCTAGGCCCTTTAAGATCTGTCGAATTATTTGCTTGTTTATTTGTTTGTTTTAGTGTCTTGAGTCAAGGTCTCTGTGAGTGGCCCAGGCTGCCTCAGACTCAAAGTCCTGAGTGCTGGGATTATTCGTCCATCCTTTCCTTGCCCAGAAAATCACCTTGCTCCACATGCTGGTTGCTTTTCTTCCTTATCTACACTTTGCAGGTGAGGAGTGATCTAGGAAAATATAAGATTTCCAGCTACAGATAAAATACTGCTCCCTTGGCGGAGTCGCTGTTGCCTCCCTAGAAAGACCTGGGCCCATCCCAAACCACAGCTTCTACGTCCTCAGTTCATTCTTAGCAAGAGCCAGATGTGACCACCCAAGACCAAGAAGATGAGGCCATTGGCCCATGTACTCAGTTTCTCATCTCTTGACATGGGGTTAGTCATGGCATCTCTTTGGGCCTGCTCTGTGCACATGTAAACTTTCCCTTGGCCTATCTCAAATGATCTTCCAGACACTTTGGTCCTCCATTTTCACAAGTGAAGGAACTGAATGTTTCAGAGAGATGGGGTGACCCACCAGGGTGACTAGGCCCAAAGATCTTTTCCAAGTTGTGGGTCTCACCATATGTGAACCTCAGTGTGACAAGCCCCATCTGTCCGAGATGGCCACGGTATCTGTATTCAGCCATGTTCAGAGTAGGCAGGTGCTTTTGAATCATTCTGATTGATTTTCCTGGTTTCCAGGCCACTAGAGTGAAAGACATCAAGCATTAGGATTTCAGTCCCTTTGACAGTTCTTAATTTTTTTTAATTTTATTTATTTATTTATATGTGTGTTGGTGTTTTGTCTGCATGTATGTGTGAGGGTGTAGGATCCCCTAGAACTGGAGTTAAACACAGTTGTGAGCTGCCATGTAGGCACTGGGAATTGAACCCGGGTCTTTTGGAAGACCAGTCAGTGTTCTTAACCACTGCACCATCTCGCCAGCCCCACTTTGACATTCTTGGCACATCTGTGCCTGGCCACTGGCTGTCCGCAAGACACCACCTGTGAATACTGAACCAGCACCCAGAGAACTTTCTGGAACCCCAGCTGTGCTGTGAAGGCATAGCAGCGGTTGGAGGAGGATGAAGTTTAAGATCTCTGAGGCCTTCCACCACAGCTGTGCTGTTTCTGGACTGTGATCCCTCCAGCCTCGGTTACTATGTCTACACAATGGGAATAACACATCATAGCTAAATGAGACTGCCTCAGAGGTTGGATGACACAAATGAACACACTCGGCTACACTTATTTTCTCCCATCATCCTGCCCTTGACAAAAGGGTCTGGAACACAGTATGGCTCTGCTCAGTGAAATGAATGAAGTCACAGAAGAGAGCAGGAGCCCTGAAATCAGAGGGCTGTCGTGTGAGGGGGTGGGGGTGCTCAAGTTCAGCTGTATTCGTTATTTTTCTCATTGCTGTGACAAAATCCATGACGAGAGACAACTGAGGGAAGGAAGGGTTTGTCTTGGCTCTCAGTTTGAGGATATACATGGTATACATCATGGTAAGGAAGGCATGACGTCACACATGTGAGGCCGCTGGGCATGTTGCACCAACAAGTGGGAAGTCAAGTGAGATGAATGCTGGTGCTTGGGTCACTTTCTCCTTTTTATAACCTTTGGATCCCAGTCCATGGGATGATGCTACCTGAATTCAAGATGGATCCTCTCTTCAGTAAAACCTTTCTGAAAACCCCTATAGACACACCCAGAAGCCCATGATAATTCTAAGTACAGTCAAGCTGGCAATGGAGATTAACCCTCAGAGCATCTAAGCGCTGTTCTCAACATTTAGTCATCTGAGGGAGTGGGAAGGGTCCCACGGAGAAGAGGCAGGGTTGGGTAACGGAGGAGAGTTGTTTGCATTGTTCCTGGGGTCCCTGACCTTTATCAGGACAGAACATCATCCTGAAGCAGAAGCAAGAGACAGTCCATGGATTCACTCAACCTCCCCCATCCAAGGATGAGGAGAATATAAAAGTGTCTGCTAAGATATACCATTCTTGAGGCTTTCCACCTTTCGTGTTATTTATGTCTCAAAACTAGGGAGACATTATCCTTGGTCTACATGGAAGGAAACAGGCTTCTCTGGGACAAATGAACAAAGGTGAACTGCTAACATGGTACAAAGCTGGTTCCAACTTCAGTCTGCTCCTTCTGGGCAGCTGAGAGCGCTGAGAGGACCAGGTGGCAGGAGTATCGCAGGAAATGATCTAAAGGTCATGTCCTGATATTGGATCGTGGAGCTCCTGGCTATACCTAGGCCTGTGATGTTCATCTCTGGCCTGTTGGCATAGCCACAGGAATGCCTGGGGTCTGAGTGGCTCTGTGTGGATGCCGTTGCCTTGGCAAAGAAGATACACTGTTGAGGTCAAAAGCTCAGATTACCAGAGGGGAAAGTCAGCCCTCTTTCCCTGTATGGCCCCTTCTGGGAAGGTCTACAGCTCTCCTCCAACCATCCTCTGCCAGACACTCTCCTGGACACCTCAGGGTTCTTTCCAGCCACACTGTATGTGCATGCCATGGGGGGAAGGGGGCATGTATGTGTCACAAACAGCCAGCCAGGGTTCCTGATGAGAAGTGACCACTGACTCTAGAGACTTCTGTGTCCTGTAAGGAGAGGCTGGAGCCCCTGACTCCCTCTTCCCACTGAGCCTTATTCAAGAAACAAAAACCAGCCTGGGCTTGAGTTTCCTGGGCCTCCAAGGTTCCTCCTTCATAGAAAGGACACATAAGCAGGTGCCTCGGCTCAGCTTTTGTTTACCTTGAGGGCCTTAAGAACAAGAGGACTGTGTATCATAAACTCCCTAACCTTACCCCCAGCCAGTTTCCTCAATTCAAGGCCTTCCTAGGTGTTGCCAAGGAGACTAATGCAGCAGCAGCAAATCTGGCTCAAGTTTCCATGGCAACCTGAAACAGCCCACTAAGGTCCACCTATGTATGATGTCACCTGAGTCAAATGGGTGCCCTCCCACCCCCATCACAGTCATCACAAACGTCTAACAGCAAGTTCCTGTCTCGAAGTACGTCACAGCTGGTACGCAGAAACGGAGACAGCAAGCACGGGCACACAGCCTTCACTCTAGAGACAAGGAAGGAAGGAACAGGTCATGATGTCCAATTCAGGACTGGGGTCCTCGAGCCGGGAGAGGCAGACCCAGCACTAGGCACTCAGCCCACCCTATCCCCTCTCCTTCCCTCTGAGATTATCCCAGTTTTTACTCAACGTCTAAAGTAAACTCTGAGGCAGTGGTAGCACTACATCTACTTTTGCCGTTGATAAAAGGGTCTGGCCCACTGTATGGATCAGCACGAGTTGAGTGAGTCTTAAACAGAGCAGAGGCCCTGGGGCATAGTGCCTGAAACTTCCCTACCCCTTGCCCATACCCTGCGTTTATGCCCCTCTCTGAGTGGGATGTTTACTAGCAAAAGGCCCAGCATGGGACTCGGGAGCAGGAAGAACTTGGAGACTGTAAAGAGGCTGCTCCTTCTGGAGTTCCCCACAATCAGCCTAGATCCCCACCCCCACCCCCGCCCAGCCCCCCAGTCTGGGCAACCTCATGCCCAGAAACAAAATGGCTAGGGCCAGGGTTAGATATTTTTAGCAGAGTTACTGGCAGCTGCTTGGCATGCTTAGAGATAGGGTGGGGACCTGGGTTTGTGTTTTCCTTTCTCTGGCTCTGTAGCTTCTCTCCAGGAGACAAGTATACACCTCCACCTAGTAGGCTTAACAGAAGAGTCCACTGATGCGCCCTCTGCGCCCTCCCTTCTAACCCTCTAAGGGACCCCAGGGAGTCGTGGATGACACCCACCTTCAACATAAAGAACAGTTTCATTGGGGAGACTCTTTAAGGACTTATTGTCGAAGCTAGAAATCCCAGTTTAGGACCCTCTAAATTCGAGCTAGGGTCCATACCTGGAGGAATGGGTGTCATGGGCTATGAGGGTGTCCAGTCCATAACTAGTCTACTGACTTGGGTAACAGTTATGATTTGAGCACAAGAAGGGAGATTTCATTCTTAAAGGGACAGACTAAATTTTCTCCAGAGGGAGTTGTACTTCACTGGTCCAGTTACCCACTACTGGCAGCCTCTGCATCATCCACCTCCCGCCTGTGCACCCGCCTCAACCCACACTCCTCCCTCCCAACTTCACCCCCTCATCCCCCCTCACCCCCGCCTCTTCCCATCTACCTGCCCCGCCCTGGCGAGTCTGAGGTCCTAGAAGGGAGGTGGGGGATTCCCGGGGGCGGATGATGCGTCAGCCTCCCCCGCAGCAGCACCGTGGACCCGGGATGGGGACTGGGGCGGGGGCGGAGGCGGAGGCGGGGGCGGGAGCGGGAGCGGGGGTAGGAGTGAGGGCGGGGAGCCAGGCTGGTGGAGGTTTAAATAGGCGGCCCTAGAGCTGCGACCCAGCACCAGCTGAGGGGCTAAGGTAGCAGAGGAGAAAAAAGCTGCAGTTTTGGCAGCGACAAGGGTCCGAGTCTCTTTGAACAGAGGTCTGCGAGTGGATTCTATCTGATCCCTCAGTGGGCTGTGCTGGAGCGCTGATCAGATCCTGATAGTCTGTGAGACTTGGTGAGTGTCCTAACGAAGCGGGGTGGATCACACCATCAGGGCTTGGGATGGATGGAGATCCATTTGGGTTACTGGTTAAGGCGTGGAGACCTCGGGACTCGCAATAGGTTCTGGCAGGCCCTTGGTCCTGAGCATCTTTCTTGACTCCAGGGTCCCGCCTGCTTCCGCTGTAGAGCTACCATCCCGATTCCTGGTTCCTTAGACGGCGTCCGACAAGATGACCCTGAATGGCGGCAGCGGAGGGAGCCGAGGCGCGGGCAGGGAGCGCGACCGCCGTCGAGGCAGCACCCCCTGGGGCCCGGCACCCCCGATGCACCGCAGGAGCATGCCTGTGGACGAGCGAGACCTTCAGGCGGCGCTAGCCCCAGGTTCCCTAGCAGCGACTACAGCGGGAACTCGAACACAGGGGCAGAGGCTGGACTGGCCCGAAGGCTCCTCCGACTCGCTTAGTTCTGGAGGCAGCGGCTCAGTGGAGGGCGTTTACAAGGTGCTGCTGCTTGGGGCGCCTGGTGTGGGCAAGAGCGCTCTGGCGCGCATCTTTGGTGGTATAGAAGACGGCCCTGACGCAGAAGCCGCAGGTGAGAGAATTGAGTTGTTTAGAGAAAGATAGTTAGGAGGAAGGGGACATGGACTACAAGTGGCAAACACTATGGAATTTCAAGGCATTTTCAGAATCATGTTACTTCAGCGTCCAAGATGGAGAAACTGCAGAGCCTCCACAAATCCCTACTTACTCCCCACAACCTCTCCCTACCCATGTGCCAGTCCTTGATAAGGAAGAAGTGCCCCGAGTAGTTGAGTGCTGGGTATGACTTCTTTGTGGCTTGGGGCAGGACAGTCCTGCCTGCCAGAGTTGGCAGGAACAAAATCAGAAGTTTCTAGGAGAGGAAAGTTAGGTAGCCAAGGTCTCTGGGGAGAGACAGCCACTGTGCTACCTCTGGCCAGTGGTCACATTCACGATGGAGCCGGGCAGCAGAAGGTCAGGGAGCCCTGGACACCCAGTACTTTGCTAGTTTGGGGACACAGAGAGGGAGGTGGGGCATTCCATGCCTCCAGCCCCCACCCAGCTACCAGGCTTGTCATTCGTTTGATCATAGCAACCATCTGCTGGTGGAGGAGAGTTATCAGGAGACTCTGAGAAGTGGGAGGTGTGGTCAGAAGAGGAACTGGACACTGGGAACTTTTGACAGCCAACTGATAACTTGGCTATTGGCTCCTTTCCTAGGGCACACATATGATCGCTCTATCACTGTGGATGGAGAAGAGGCATCACTTATGGTCTATGACATTTGGGAACAGGTAGGTTGCAGGCTGGGTCACAAGGAAAGGGGGGAAGCAACGCTGGGGAAGGGCCTTGCTGGGAATTACAGGGTTGTGTGTGTATTTGTCTCCCCTCCAGGATGGGGGCTGCTGGCTACCTGGCCACTGCATGGCCATGGGAGATGCGTACGTCATTGTGTACTCAATAACAGACAAGGGCAGCTTTGAGAAAGCCTCAGAACTTCGGGTCCAGCTGCGGCGGGCGAGGCAGACAGACAACGTGCCCATCATCCTTGTGGGCAACAAAAGTGACCTGGTGCGCTCTCGTGAGGTCTCCGTGGACGGTAAGCAGACACTGGGTCAGGAAAGGGAGGGAGATCCTAGCTGGGCTGCGGGCCAGTTAGTCTTGGCTCAGCCTGAGTCCCTGGGGATCATCAGTGGCTAAAAATGTTCAGGAAGAAAACTTGGTGTTGGAGGGTGGAGGAGATGCATCTGGTCCATCGGGCTCCCAAAGGCCTACAGCAAAGGGGAAGGGAAGAACCAGATCTGCTAGGGGAAACTGAGGCACACAAGCACCCTCCTCAACTGCTCCATGGGTTCATGCCTGACAGGAGACAAGAGTGAGGCTGAGGAAATGGAAAAACATACAAAGGATTAGGAGGTCAGAGCATGATTTCATGCCCCGCCATTCTCGGAGTAAGCCTGGTATTCATCGGGCTTCAGCTTCCTCCTTTGTGGCACGCAGTACCAAGTACTTCAAACTTGGTGACCTTGCCCCCACCACAGGCCATTGGACCATTTGTATACATTATAAAATTCTCAGCTGTCAAATCATTTTCATTTGCCTTAGTCCACTACTACAGAATACATTTTAAACACTCGGCTTTAAATCATGAATTCCTTTTTGTGGGCCACCATAAACTTTGGAGGCACATTGTGCCTCTCAAGTGACCGAGCAACTGGGATCTCTGTGTCTTTAAAAAGGATCTAAGGCGCCGTCTTCCATTGTTAGAGAATTCTTGAGTTGTAGCTGCCAGATATGGCGAGGGTTTGAGATGGCATCCTCTGCTCCTTGTTGACTGGCACCTGTCTGTCCCCACCACACAGAGGGCCGGGCCTGCGCCGTGGTCTTCGACTGCAAGTTCATCGAGACATCAGCAGCCCTGCACCACAATGTCCAGGCACTGTTTGAGGGTGTCGTGCGCCAGATACGCCTCCGCAGAGACAGCAAAGAGGATAATGCCCGGCGGCAAGCTGGCACTCGGCGAAGGGAGAGCCTTGGCAAGAAGGCCAAACGCTTTCTGGGCCGCATTGTAGCTCGCAACAGCCGCAAGATGGCCTTCCGTGCTAAGTCCAAGTCTTGCCATGACCTCTCTGTCCTCTAAGGCCCGATGGGCCTCTGGCATACTGGGCCAGTGGATGGGTGGAGGGGCTGGCCCAGACAACTGCTCTAGAGGCCTCAGTGCCGGTCCACGCTCTGTGAGACTGAGAACTGTCAGCTGTGAACGTCTCTTGGTCATGGACAGACAAACAGTGCCCAGGGAGGCGACTCCCAAGAGGCCAATGAGGCCAATGCCAGGGAGATGCATGTGCAGGCCCACGTGCATACCAAGCAGCCTGAACCTGGCTCGTGGACAGGACTCTGCCTTTCTCCGTGTGGGTGTCTGTGCCCAGGAGTCAGGCTGTTCAGTATGGTTGCTGTTTGTTTACATGCAGACTTTTGTAATAAAGACTATTTCCTGACAAGCCGGGGCTGTTGAGTAATTTTCTTTCATGGTGGTTTCGAGAGCAGAAAGAGATGCTGAAATTGAGAGATAAGGGCTCCTTGCCCACATGACCTAGTGTGTGGTCTTGATGGTCCTGTTTGGCCTAGATTTAGTCAGCACAATGGAGGGAACAAATGGGAAACCTATGGAGGTTAGGAGGAATGTTCAAGAAGCGGGAGACAAAACCTCCTCCCAGCCTGTTATCTAGACCCTTCCACACTGGGGCCTGGAATTGTCTAGCTGACTGAAGATCCTGTTGCCTCTCCATACATAAAGGGAAACTGAGGTTGCCCCAGAAAGCACACTTTGCTTTGGATCTCTCAGCCTGACATGATTGTGGGCTCAGGCACTGCCCTGGCCTTCCTAAGGGGTGGAAATCAGTTAAGGTCGGGACATGGAAGGGAAGACTTAAGAGTTGGGAGGTAAAGTGGCTGATGTTCAAGGGTAGGTGTTGAGGGAGGCACCCGCAGGCACTGATGGCTTCCCCACTTCCTGCCTGAAGTTATCCTGCAGGGGCTCAGCATTATTTACTCTATGAGGACCCATGCTAATAATTGACTAATTCATCTTTTGCAAAGACCACTCCCTAGAGCTCTCCCCGTCTGGAGTGCAGATTTCACATCTGTGTAGGAAGTGTCCCTGTGTGCCATCACTGCCTGTCTACCCATCCAGGCCCTCCTAGTAGTGGAGCAGATGGCTCTCCCTATATTGTTTTTTTAAGAGAACCTGGAGCCTCATATGTTATAGGCAAGTTCTCTACCGCTTAACTACATCCTCAGCCAATGCATTTTAAGACAAGGTCTCTCTAAATTGCCCAGGCTGGCATAGAACTTAACAATTCTTGTGTCTTGGCCTCCTGCATAGCTGGGATCACCAGGCAAGCTCTCCTTCCAGGTTCTTTCTCTTTCCCTCCTTCCCTTCCTCTGGGTGTGAGAGACTCTGTGTGGCCATGGCTGTGTATGCATGCGCACGGGCTAGTGTGTATTTGGAGGTAAAGGCTTCCCCCAATCACTCTCACCTTATTCTTTTTAAACAGGGTTTCTCTTAGCAATGGAATAGATTGGCTAATCAGCAAACCCCATAGATTTCCCCTGTCTCCACTTTCCCAGTGCTGAGATTGTATTCACCTGGCTTTTTACATGGGCGCTGGGAATCTGAACTTAGCTCCTTATTCTTTACTAACTTCACCGTCTTCTTGGCCCCTCCTTCATTCTTCTTGACACGGGTGACAGCATAGGAGTTTACCTGTAGGAGTCTCCACTTACCTACTGCTTCTTTTGTGTGTGTGGGTTCGGTTGCCCTTGGCTGGCTACCGTCTGAAAACGTGAGAAGGAAACTACCAGGCACCAACAATTCATACATTTTAAACTAGGTGATGATTGAAGCAATATGATTAAAGCCATCGGAAGCCATCTAGTTCTGCCTCACTCAGGATGTGAGTCAGCCTCTGTCAGGAGGATCCATGCTGCCTGTGCTCCCCACCTGTTAGTCACCTAGAAGCCACCTCACTCATCAGAACAGCTTTCTAATGTCACAGTGCTAGTCACCAGATAACGCTCATAGAGCAGTGACAGTGACAGCTTGTGTAGGCCGAAGAGAGGCCATGCAGCGCCTCAGAAAGCAAAAAGGCAAGCATTGGAAGAAATAAAATAGACGGTGGTTTGGTATCATGCATGGACCGGGCATCCACTGGAGGTCTTGGAATGTGTCCCCCATGGAGAAGGAGGACGCCTGCACATATTTTCAGGAGCTGGCATTGCCGGTTGGTGATGGGTAGGAAGTGGTTGAGGGGGGGACTGCTATATAGGTCTGCTCATTCCCAAAGCCTGGAGGCAGCTTGGGACAAGCGCCCACTTTTCTTCATTCCACAAACTCTTGGGAGCCCTTGAGGCCTGGTTAGAACCCTGGTTGCAGATCACTCAGTATCAAAATGAAGTCTGAAGGCAGCTGCTCAGTGTGTAAAGGGGGAACCTCTACGACTCCCCACACCCTCACCAGGCAAAGCTTCTTTGAGACCCCCCCTTCAACAATCCCACATATAGCATTAATCCAGACTGGGTGCCTCAGTGACCCCAAAGTAGATACCCTGCCCAGTTTCCATCCCAAGAAGTTAACCAGATGCACTGAGAGTTCTCAGGGGAGATCAGGATCTTCTTACCCTCTCCCCTCATCCAAGACTTCCAGAAAACAATTCTGTTGGATCTCCTTCGTGGGTCTTTTTGAAGAGGTGTGGGGGCCCTGGTCAGCCCTGGAGCCCCCTCAAAGACACCTGAGCTGGCTCAGTCTTCTCTTTTCTGCTTGGAGACATGAGAGAGTGAAGTGTCCTGCCCCTGTCAGTGTTCAGGAGCCAATGTGAGGCTTGGGAAGCTTCAGGGGACCTCACAGGCTTCTGTTTCCATCCACCGCTCTACCTGAAGCATGGTCTGGAACTCCTAACACCCACATGGGGTCATCTGCCCTTTGGGTTACACTTCCAGCCCTTTTCTTAATGCCACAAGTCACTTAAGAGTACTTGGGAGCAGGACAAGGTCAGATGTCCTTCCCAGAGGGACTCCCAGGCTAATAAATGGGAGACAAGTTGGTGTCTTCTGTGCATAGTAGAGGCAGTTAGTTCATGGTGTGGAATGTGGATGTGGTTCTAATCCAGCCTATCAGCATAAGACATTGGTTCTCAACCTGCATAGTGACTCCTTTGTAGGTCAAATGACCCTTTCACAGGGGTTGCATATCAGATATCCTGCATATCAGATATTTATTATGATTCATAACAGCAAAATTACAGTTATAAAGTAGCAACAAAAATAATTTTATGGTGAAGGCGGTCACAACAACTTGAGGAACTGTGTAAGTGTCGTAGAATTAGGAAGGTTGAGGCTTTCTTGGAGAAGGGGTTATTTGTTCTTTTTGCTAAAGTTTGAGTAGGTACTTACTCAAGGGTGGGAAGAGCATTCCAGGCACAGGGAACAGTATCTGCGGAGATCTAGCTATAGATGCACTGCACAGAGGAGAAATGGGGGCCAGGTCTAAAGTCACACACACACACACAAAAAAAAGTTGTGTCCAAGCCGAGAGGGCCAAGAAGTGCTCATTGAGCTGTGTCAAGGTGGGCGTGGCAGACAAAGATCTGCCCACCTCCTAGGGCTGGCAGTCACGGATACTGAGCAGTCCTAGCTTTCCAAAGTCAATAAGTAACTCGGGGTGGGGGGGACTAGGCGGGGCCAGGCCTGCTGCTGTGGGCCCAGTGGCATTTTCCACTCCTGAGCAAGAGCGACTGGACCGCCTACCTGCCCAAGTGTCCACTTGGCCGGGCCCCACCTAGCCCAACCTGCCAGAGCTCCCTGAAGAAGGATCTCTCTCCCCTGGCAGCTGGACCAAGGAAGAGGTTTTGGGCATCAGTAGGTGAGGGGCTGGGAGCTCTCGGGTGGGCAGAGTTGAACTTGGGAGTAGGGCTGCCCTATCCTTCAGATATCTAGGTAAGAATTCCCAGGGATCCATCTTGGGGAGGAGAGTTGACAATGTTACACATTCTTAGCCACATGCCGAGGTCTGCAAAATGTAAAATGAGGACAGAGTTCTTGCCCTAAGGGCATTCTGTGTCTGGAGGGTGGCGGTGGGAAACAGGATAATCTCCAAGGCCTGAGCCAGAAGTCCTCTGCTCCAGAATGAATCCTCTTGTGGTCAAGTCCTCCATGACCTTGACCAGGATCTGCCAATCGGGCCCTACCTGAAACGTGGAAGTGACAGTCGGCCCAGCTTCTGATTGCTGTGATTTGGTGGGCTGCTAAAGAATTGCACTTTGGGAGCTGTTGTGTGGGGGGGGTGGGGGGGTGCTATTGCAAGAAGGAGAAGGGGATTTGGAGATGAAAACTTCTATGGTCCTCTTTATGACAGCAAGATCCAAGAGGCAGGATGGTTGGGCCTGGGGGCCTCATTTGGTCTGACCAAGAAGCTGAATATTTGCAACAGGCCGCTGAGGGGTGGGAAGAGGAGACTAGGCTATAGTGAGATCCCTCTGGCCATGTATACAGAATAGAACCCTTCTTCTTGACCGTGTGGGCTGGATTCTCACTTCCAGGTCCTTCGGGCCCACCTGGACCATGATCTCTGCCTGCCTATGCCTGCTTTGCCTCGCTGTTATTCAGGTGAGCTGGGCCCAGCCTCGTCCTTCAGAATTCAACCTTGGGGGTTAGCACCCTTGTCCCAATCCCACCCGGACTCATCACCCTAGCCACAAAAGTAGTGTGGGAGTCAGGAGTTCAGAGTCAGAGCTGTGGGCTTGCTCTGGAAGCAGGAAGCATAAGACCAGAGGGCGGATGGACTAAGATCTAGTAGACTGGGGGGTGGGGGGGGCAGCAATTCACTCTTCCTACCAGAGCCCATGGAACAAGGAGAGAATTTCCCATATAGGCTTTCACCACCGAGGCCCAGCCTGCAGAGCTGCATGCGGAAGTCCCTGAAAACTATGGTGGGAACTTCCCTTTCTACATAATCAAGGTGAGCCTGAGTGCACAGTAGTGTCCCATTACCCCAAAATCGTGTTTCTCCCACCTCTAGGGTCTGTTCTCTTGGCTGTTTTGGTTCTCCTTTGAGTCCAGCTTTTTAGGCAATGAGTGGGTTGATGTCAGCTTAGGTCACTTCATGAAACCTTGTCTAAAAAGGAAAAGAAATACTGGTGAAGAGGTCCTGCTTTAGACAGAGGGTGTCAGGGAACACGAGGAGCATCGGGTACTAAAGGGAAAGCTCTCGACTGAAGTTTTGGTTACTGGATATGAGATTCCAGGCCATCACCAGCTCCTTCTGAGACTCAGTTTCCCCATATTTAAAATGGGGCCTGTAGGTAAAGGTGTTAGCCTCTAAGCCAGTGGTTCTCAACCTTCCTAATGCTGTTATGCATGTTGTGGTGACCCCAACCATAAAATTATTTCATTGCTACTTCATATCTGGGATTTTGCTACTGTTTTGAGTTGTTATGTAGATGTGCAGGATTTCTAATATGCGGCCCCTAAGGGAGTCGCTACCCACAGGTTGAGAACCCCTGAGAGTCTAGCTCATACCCCTACTTCTTTTGACTCTGTTCTATCCCACCAGCTACCACTACCCCTCGGGAGGGATAAAGGCCAGATTGTCCTATCAGGCGACTCAAGCACAGATGCTCAAGACCCCTTTGCTGTGGATCCAGAGTCTGGCTTTCTGGTGGCAACAAAGGCCCTGGACAGGGAGGAAAAGGCAGAGTACCGACTACAGGTATCACAGAGTGAGGTATAGGGGCAAGCAGGCAAGACAGGGCTAGGGACTAACTACCCTTTCTTGCCAGGTGACCTTGGAGTCTGAGGATGGACAAGTCTTGTGGGGTCCACAGCCTGTGACTGTGCATGTGAAAGATGAGAATGACCAGGTACCCCAATTCTCCCAGGCCATCTACAGAGCTCGGCTAAGCCAGGGCACCAGGCCTGGTGAGTGACAAGGACAACCAACGTGTGGTGACGTCAGATAGACACTGATAGAACATCAGACGGTAAAGAGACAGTTACTGTTGGCACATCAGCAGGGTGCAAACCCTCCTCCAAGTTTGTCCCATTCTGTACTCTCCAACCCCATTAATAGTCCCATCTGCCTTGGGTCTCAGTTGGTTCATTTGGGAAATGGGATAGCAACGGGTTTGCCTCCAGAACCCTGATACGATGATGAACATAGGAGAAAGCTCTGAGAAGACAGAGGGGAGGTGCAGGAGACTCCCTGTCCCTGCCATCCCTTACAGTACATCCCTGTCCCCAGGGATCCCCTTTCTCTTCCTTGAGGCTTCTGATGGGGATGCACCGGGCACAGCCAACTCAGACCTTCGATTCCACATCCTGAGTCAATCCCCAGCTCAGCCTTTCCCAGATATGTTCCAGCTGGACCCTCAACTAGGCTCTCTGGCCCTCAGTCCCAGGGGTAAGAATAACCTGGGTTTGATGGGGGAGAGAGTCATGGAATGCTGGAGAAGTTGCCTCTAAGCCATAAGTGATGGATGGGTTGGAGCTGAGATGAAAGGAAAAGGCCATTCTAGGCAGAGGCTAAGGCTGGACTGTGCATGGGGTGTTTAGACATGTGGTGTAGGGAGAGCAGGTCCTTTTGTTTTGTCCCGGCCACCCAGCTAGCTTACATCCAAAATAATCACACAGAAATTGTATTAATTAAATTACTGTCTGGCCCATTAGCTCTAGCCTCTTATTGGCTAACTCTCACATCTCCATTAACCCATTTCTATTAAATCTGTGTATCACCACGTGACTGTGGCTTACCGGCAAGATTCTAACCTACATCCGTCTCAGGCCAGAGATTCAAGGCGTCTTGCCACACTGCCTTCTTCCTCCCAGAATTCTGTTCTGTTTTCCCGCCTATCTAAGTTCCGCGCTATCAACTAGGCCAAGGCAGTTTCTTTAATAACCAATGAAAGCAACACAAATACAGAAGGACCTCCTACACCAGACGTGGAATAGATGGAGACCAGATAGGAATGGGTGAAGGAGCTGTACCAAGATACCTCAGGGATGACAGCAAGATAGATCTACTTCTGCAAGTTAGATCAGAGGTTTAAGTTAGATAGATGGATAAGTGACTCACACCTTAACCCAGCCAGCCACCTTTTCTCTCGTCCAGCCCCTGAATGACCTGTGTAGCCCATTTGTCTAACACTTGCTCATCCATATACTCTCATACCCAAATTCCCACACAGTCAACCATCTATTCCCTCTTCCTATCATCCATCTATCTGGCCTCCTCCCCATCAGCTACCTCCCCAGTCCACCAACCTTTCACTGTGGTCTGTCAGGTACTAGTTGGATGCTCATGCTGGTGATAAGAGAGATGCCTCTGCCTTTAAGAGCACTGGCTGCTCTTGCAGAGGTCCTGAGATAAACTCTCGGCACCCGTGTGCCATTTCACAACCTTCTATAACTCCAGCTCTTGGAAATTGGATGCCCTCTTCTGGCCTTTGCTGGTACTTGTATTCACACAGATACACAGATACACAGATACACATAAATAAATAATAAAATAAATCTTTTTTTTTTAAGGACTAGCTCATCCCTTAACATTTTTCTTTCTTTTTATCTTTTGAGTCTTTTAACAAAGTTAGTTGTGTGGTGTCAGGTAGTGGAGGCACACACCTTTAATCCCAGCACTTGAGAGGTAGAGGCAGCCTGACCTCTGTGAGTTTGAGGCCAGCCTGATCTACAGAGCGAGTTCTAGGACAGAATTCAAAACTACAAAAAAAAATTGTGTGCACACACATACACACACATGGGCATGCACATGTCATGTATGTGGGTGTTTTGCCTGCATATATGTCTATGAACCACATACAGCCTGGTACCTGTAGGAGAGGGCATCAGGTCTCTGGGAACTGTAGTTACAGACAGCTGTTAGTGGCCATGTAGTGTTGGAAATCTAGCCTGGGTCCTCTGGAAGGGCAGCCAGTGCTCTTAACCACTGAACCCTCTCTCCAATCCCACAATATAATTGAACTCCTGTGATATACTTGGCTTTCTTTTTGGTACTGGCTGAAGATGCTTTGGGCCTTGCTCCCTGGGTCCATGCTCAGCTGACCTTCTATCCCTTCTAGGAAGCACCAGCCTAGACCTTGAAGGGCCTTACCAGCTGTTGGTACAGGTCAAGGACATGGGTGACCAGGCCTCAGGCCACCAGGCCATCACCACTGTGGAGATCTCCATAGTACAGAGCACCTGGGTACCTCTCGAACCTGTTCACCTAGCAGAGAATCTACAGGCTGCATACCCACACAGCATTGCCCAGGTGAGAAGTGGCTATCCGTGGCTAAAGTAACCCCATAGCTAATGTAGCTAGGCCTGAGCCACACAGACACTTGGGGGGGGAGTGCCCATGACTCAGCTTGACCCCCATTCCTTCCTGAGATATATACTTCCCTCTAGAAAGTGGGTAGGAAGGCCTGGGACCAAGCAAACAGCCCATCATGTGCTGTCCTCTAGCATCTGTGCTTCTGTGTTCTGACATCCCCAACTTGCCTAAGGCTTCCTCAGAGAAAACAGCTGCCAACTCTCACTGCCACGGGGATTGTCACCCAAGCCAGGAATGTCTCCGGCCTTTTCTAGGAATGCTTTGGGGTCAGGCCCAGACTGAGAAAGCAGAAAATAAAATAAGCTGGTCATTTGGGCACTTTGGAAAAGGTTCAGGCTTGTAGCAGGGTAAGGTTGTCCCAAGTAGCTAACCACATGCTCTTAGGGTCCGGGCTCCTTGACTGGGAATCAGTTGGGAGTAAGGACTGGAGTAGATGCTTCCTGAAGTGCTTTCACTTTGTGTCCTCCTCACAGGTCCACTGGAGTGGAGGAGACGTACATTATCAACTGCAGAGTCAGCCTGCAGGACCCTTTGACGTGGATGCAGAGGGGGGAATCCATGTAACCGCGGAGCTGGACCGAGAGGCCCAGGCTGAGGTGAGGTGAGAGGGAAACATGGGGCAAACTGGAGGGTGCTCTATCACATCCCCCCACAGATGCCGAGGCAATGAAGACAACCCAGACGAGCTGGGACTAGCCACCAGAAGGGACTTCAATCCACTCCAGTCCGGAGCTACCCTTGGCCCTGATCTGAAGCTCTCCACTGCCCACTACAGTACCTGCTCCAAGTCCGAGCTCAGAATTCCCGTGGTGAGGACTTTGCGGAACCCCTGGAGTTGCAGGTGGTGGTGATGGATGAGAATGACAACGCCCCTGTCTGCTCCCCGCATGACCCAGCAATCAGCATCCCTGAGCTCAGCCCTCCAGGTGTGTGTTGCGGGCCTTATCAGGAGGGAGGGAAGGGTAGAGCTCCTAGAAACCATTTTGCTTCTTTGCGGTGAGTCTAGCTTTAGAGTTCTATATCAAAGACACACACACACACACACACACACACACAAGCTCAGGAAGTGGATGGGGGTGTTGTCTTGCAGGAACTGAAGTGATTACGCTGTCAGCAGAGGACATGGATGCCCCTGGATCACCCAATTCCCACGTTGTATATCGGTTGTTGAGCCCTGAGCCTGAGGAGGGGGCTGAAGAAAAAGCCTTCAAGTTAGATTCTGCCACAGGCCATGTAACACTGGGAACTGCCCCACTCCACCCAGGCCAGGCCATCCTGCTTCAGGTGCTGGCTGTTGACTTAGCAGGATCAGAGGGTGGTGAGTACCCTGGGGATGATGATCCCGGCCCCTTCCCCTCTCTGCTCCTACTGGGACCTCACCAACAGCCCCTTCCCTGCATCAGGACTCAGCAGCACATGTGAGGTGGTGGTCACGATCACAGACATCAACAACCATGCCCCTGAGTTCATCACTTCCCAGGTAAGCTGACATAGAGCTATGGAGAGCATTAGGAGGGTGCTGGTGGTGTTTACCAGACATCTCCATCTCTCCAGATTGGACCTGTAAGTCTTCCTGAAGATGTGAAGCCAGGGGTTCTGGTGGCCACACTTATGGCCACTGATGCTGACCTTGAGCCTGCCTTCCGCCTTATGGACTTTGCCATTGAAGAAGGAGACCCGAAAGGGATCTTTGACCTGGCCCGGGAGCCAGACTCTGATCATGTCCAGCTTAGACTCCTAAAGGTTAGGATGTAGAGAGTGGGGAAGGGTCACAAGTGTGCCATGGCCTGACCCACACAGTGACCCAGAACTCATTGGTTCCAGAACCTCAGCTATGAGGCAGCTCCTCATCACAAGGTGGTAGTGGTAGTGCGGAACGTGGAGGAACTGGTGGGCCCAGACCCAGGCCCTGGAGCCACGGCCACAGTGACTATATTGGTGGAAAGGGTGATGCCACCCCTCAAGCTGGACCAGGAGAGCTATGAGACCAGCATCCCAGTGAGCACCCCAGCTGGCTCCCTCCTGCTGACCATTCAGCTCTCAGAGCCCCCTAGCAGAGCCCTCAGGTGAGCCTCTTACCTGGCCCAGACTCCCCCTGCTCCCCAAGAATGGCTTCAACACCCCTGAGAAACTCATTTTGTGTATGGCCTAGAATATTCCTCCAACTATGACTAATTCCAAGGTTCTGACTCCTGGAGGGTCAGGGCTGGATGAAGTAAGCAGGCGTGGAGGAAGTGTTTAGGCCCCAGGGGAGCTCTAATTACTCCTCCTTAAGGGAGCAGCAGCAGACTGAAGCTGTGCCTGGGTCTAAGCCCTCCAGACTCCTTGGCAGAATGCTCTGGAACAAACAGGACTCTGTCCTGTTCCCCGGGTTCTAATAATCCTTCCCTTACCCATACCTTAAACTCCCCATCACCAACAAATTCTGAAACTGGCCAATTGGGTTCAGAGCACTGCTGTTGCCCCTGCATCCCAGAAAGGATACAGGATTTGAGTAGGCCACATCATCCCGGGAGTTCCTGGGCAGGAACCTGTATGCTGTTCCAGCGCCTCCCCAAACACACATCTTCTTTGGGTTCCAGGTTCTCCCTGGTCAATGACTCAGAGGGCTGGCTCTGCATCAAGGAGGGCTCTGGGGAGGTGCACACAGCCCGGTCCCTGAGGGGTGCCAAGCCTGGGGACACCTACACAGTGCTCGTGGAGGCCCAAGACACAGGTATGATCCAGCAGCAGTGGCATGTCCTCAGAGGAGCTCGACTCCACATGGAAACTTTATAGAAAAACCACCACCCTTCAAGTCTGCCATTCAGAATTTCCCTTGGGCTTCTGAGGGTGTCAACTCCAGGGCCAGACAAGACAATGAGTGCTAGATGAGCGAGGTGAAGGAGGGCCGGGGCTGTGTCTGAGGCAGGAATGCTAGGAGATGGGGCAGGTGTGGGAAACTGTGGACGGCACTCCAATAGGATAAAGAGCCGGTCCTGGGAGGGCTTGTCAGGAAGGGTACTTCAGGAGTTCCATGGAAGTCAGAAGAGATGCTCTCCCCCAGGTCAGGTCGTGTCTGGGTGGTAGCATCAACACTGAGACAGATTTGGCATCAAGAAAGAGGCTGGTGGGCTAACAATTGTTTGAGTAGTGAAAGGATGAAGGACATAATGAAGAAGAAACTGATATAGGGGTGGGAAGAAGGGGATGGGGGCAGGAGTATGGAGGGAAGCAGCAGAGAGACTAGCCCAAGTTCTCTATGGCTTACCCTCACCCCTAACAATGCAGGTGAACCAGGGCTGAGCACTTCTGCCACCATTGTGGTCCATTTCCTGAAGGCCTCTCCTGTCCCAGGATTGACTGTAGCCCCTGGGCCCAGCAGACACCTCTGTACACCCCGCCAAGACTATGGTGTGGTTGTCAGTGGGGCCAGTGAGGGTTCTGGCCTGGCCAATGGACATGGTCCCTACAGCTTTGCTCTTGGTCCCAACCCCACCGTGCAACGGGATTGGCGCCTCCAGCCTTTCAATGGTATGTGGCAAGGGAAGGGAATGAGGCTGTGGAGGGTAGACTCACTTGGAAGTGAGATGGGTGGGAGGGAGTTGTAGGGGAGCAGTTCTGATGGAGACTACCCAGGCTAGTAACCCTAATCATTTTCTGCAACCCAACAGATTCCCATGCCTACCTAACCTTGGCCTTGCATTGGGTAGAGCCAGGTGAATACATGGTACCTGTGGTTGTCCACCATGATGCCAAGATGTGGCAACTCCAGGTCCAAGGTGAGGCTGGGACTTGAATGCAGCCAAGATTGGCATCTTTAATTTCTGAGAGAGCCATCAGGGTACAGGGGGAAAGAGCCTGGGTACACATCATACAATCATACATGCTCACAGAGACAGCACAGGCCCACATACTTGCGTATCTGTAGCTGGGAGGCTATATCTGCATATATCCTGCCACATATACAGAGGAGTATGCCCCTTCACTCGCACATACCTGCAGAGGTGTGCACACAAAAACATCTCTCGGGCAGTTTTCCAGACAGGAGGTTCCAAGCACCTGGGAGGCCTCTAACACTCTCATCTTCGCTGCCCATCCCAGTGTTCGTGTGTCGCTGCAATCTGGACGGCCAATGCATGCGCAAGGTGGGCCGCATGAAGGGAATGCCTACGAAGCTGTCAGCAGTGGGTGTCCTCTTGGGTACCCTGGCAGCCATAGGTAATGGAAGCTGGGCTCTTTCACGGGTGAGGGTGATGAATGGTTGGAGCCACAGCCTCCAACATTGTCCCTTGTCCCCACAGTGTCCACAGATCTGGAAAAGGAATTCCCTAAGTCCCCTAGTCATTACGCACCGCTCTTGGTATCAGTCACCCTGGTCACCCAGGGAAAAGCATTTACAAGCACATTGTCCTTCATTGCCTATGCGTGGGTCCTATTGCGCACACATGATGGAATCCTTTCCACAGCCTGGGAGTTTGATCCTGCTGTCTCCCAGCTTTGTTGATGAGGTCACGATGACTCAGAAAGGCTAGGTGACTTGTCCAAGATTACACAGCCTGTGCAGAAGGGTCCAACTTAGTCCTTTCAAGTCGCCCTCTCCATCCCCTTTGTTGTTTGATGGGTTTCTTCGCTGGTTCTCGTAGAAAGCTGTGAGGTGTGAATAGCTCCCTGGCTTTCCCATGAACCCCATCTGATCTGACTCCAGAGAAAATGTGTGTGTGTGTGTGTGTGTGTGTGTGTGTGAGAGAGAGAGAGAGAGAGAGAGAGAGAGAGAGAGAGAGAGAGAGATGTTTTATCTTCAAAGCGTGTCTCACTAAGTTGTTGCCAGCTGGCCTGGAACTCACTGTAGCCTAGACAGGCCTTGACCATATCATCTTCCTGGCTCAGCCTTCTGAGAAGGCAGCTAGGGGGCTGGGATATACTTTAACCTTGGTGAGATAAGAGCAGAGCAGACCAACCACTGGGATTCCATCAGACACTAGGACTCGTACCCAGCGTGGAGACACTGTCTAGAAAATGTTATGTAGAGAATCAATACCAATGACAGGGAGTTTAGAGGGGTACCCTTCTCAACCCTGCTACGGGCTTACCCATTCTTCTTGGGCCCCTCAGGCTTCATCCTCATCCTTGTCTTCACCCACCTGGCCCTGGCACGGAAGAAGGACCTGGATCAGCCAGCAGACAGTGTTCCCCTGAAGGCAGCAGTGTGAGTGATCCCAGCAGCCCCAACTAGGAGGCTGGCTCCTCCTCCATCTGAGCTCACTGAGAAAGGGCCCAGTGCCCAAGATACACTGGAGACCAAGACAGAGGAAAAGCTCTCCGTCTTCCTGGAGTGGAGGCACTGTCACCAGGCATGTCCCCAAAGCCTGGACACTGACTTTACAGGATGGCCATGGGAACACTCCAAATGGCAGCTCTTTGTCCAATAATAAAGGCTCAGAGAGCCAGGCTGGACCCTGTAAAGGATGATTATACTGCACGTCTGTGTATGCATGTGTGGATGAGCATACTTGCCCCTCCGTGCCTGCCCCCTCTCCTGCTATACAAAATAAGTCTGGAGGCTTGGTAGGGTCACTTGTGAAGAAGGACACAAGGGCATCATCTGGGCTGTTGGTAAGAACTTGAGGGTCAATGCAAGTTGGGTCTCCAAGAGCCTACCAGCCACAAGCCCTAGGGTGACTGTGAAGGTAAGGTGAAGGAATGTCTTTCCAGGAGTTGTTCCTGTGTGTTTAGGACATCGCTATGCTATGGGGGTATAGCCTGGTGAATCCATGTCTTCCATCCATGTGTGAGCACACTCGGGGTCCTGTGCATGAGCCACCTATGCTCAGGATGGGCAGAGATCCCTCAGCCTCTAGAGGAGTATTGAGGACCCTTTGAGGCGGGGACAGGAGATTGGGAATTGTTCCTTCTGTCCCAGTGCAGGCTCCACACCACTCTGGATCTCACCCACAGGAGAACGTGGGTCCTAGGCACCAAGAGTTGATGGTGACAAATCATGGGGAAGAGAAAGAACAGGATCGGTGGGGAGCAGCCCTATTTTTAGGAGATAATCTCTCTGCTGCTGGGCAGTGCTATGGAAGAGGGGCCAAGTCCAGGCAAGAAAGGCAGGGCAGGCATCCTGGCTAACCTGGAGGGGAGCCTGAAGATGGACTCTGAGGCCATACCCAGTCACCCTGGACTCAGGAACCAACACCTCGCAAACCTACACGGGTTATTACACTGACCACCCCAATGCAAGCAGGGCCTTCCCCACCCTACTACCACATTCCATTCTCTGCCTCCGCTCAGAAGTCTTCGGCACGCAAAGCGCCCTTTTGGAGGTAGCATCTCCATAAGCCTGCTAGGGCTGGGTGAATTACTGGCTCCCATATTCAGGTAGATGATCTTGAAGGTCAGAGAGGTTACGAAACATATCTGGCAGTCTGGAGCCAGAGTACAAGAACCACCTTTGTGTCTGAGGTCTATGTGATCTCTATGGAAGTGTACTCAACCTTCAGCTGGTCTCTGCTCCCTCAAGATCCCCCAGCAATACCTTAGAGATCGCCCAACCAGCTCTTTCTGGTAAAACTGAGAAAGTGGGCTAAAAAGAGGAGGGTGGGTTCACGCAGCACCCAAGTTGGAATCTTCATGCTCTCTGGCTCCTTGTTACGGATGGATAGGAGCAGCTGCGTGGGTGAGTGAGCAGATGGGTGGACAGGTGAATGAGTAGTTGGATGGATTAGTAGATAGATGAATGATGGATGATAGTAATTAGGTAGATGAGAAACCAACGAAGGAAAAGATGAATGATGGGAACCCAGAGCAGATGGAGGTGTCTGTCCCAATTGGACAGCTTCTGCCTTGAATTTCCAGCATCAGGTAGAGGATGACCACTAATATCAAAAGGCTCAGACGCCCTGAGCACCTGTAGACACAAACTGTCCCGTTATGCATCGCTCCGTTCTAGAGACGGTGAGGATCACATAGGATCCCAGCGTGCCTGACTCACAGAAGGAGAAAAACACATAGAGAGCGAGTTGGTGTGCACCTGGAAGGATTCATGTTCGTGAGGTCCTACACCATTCCTGCACCATAGTAAGACAAGGTGTGGAGGTGGAGGTGGGCGGAGGGGTAAGGGTCATGGGGTCAGTGGTCCAGCATGAGCAGAGGGCACCACCATGCCTGCTTCATCCTTGCTGTGTGTTTCTGAAGATCACCTCATCTCTCTGAGCCTCTGTTTACTGGTTTATAAAATGAGGTTTCAGGGAGAACTACATTACATAATTGCAAAATACGTGTAGCACATAGCCAGGCACATTGTAGTAGTGGCTTTCCCCAGACCAGCATCTGCAGCCCCACAATCACAGTCCCTGGAGGCATCTGAGGCCCAAGCTTTGGGGAAGTATGGAGAAGAGCCCGGATCCAGCACCCACTGGCACTGCTGGGGCCCTGCTGTGGGCTCACTCTGGTTCTGTGATGTGAGGGGTGCCACAGAATTCCCACCAGGCTGGGGAGGCAAGGGGTCTGCACAGCAGGGGGCCATTCTCCCAGCTCTCCCAGGCCCCTTCAGAGGCACAGGGCCAGATCAAAGGGACCCAGCTCCAAAGCTCAGGAGGCGGGCTTGAAAAGAATGTAAACATGGAGATATTTTTAAACTTTTTCCAGGCTCAGCGATAGAGCTTTTGAAGCTGGAGGCCCCAAGGTCAGTCCAGATCTCACCCCCAAAGAATGAAACAATCTTAGGACCCCAGAGACCCACACACATCTCCACAGACCCCAGGGCTCTAGCTTAGGCCCCAGGGAAGAAGGTCCTTCCCGTGGTCTCACTTCTAAACCATCCTGCTACTGCAGGAAGACGTTAGTTTGTACCTTGAAGACCTTAGAGGGATGGCAGAACCCCAAGAATACAGCTGTGGTGAAGAAGCCACTTGCAAGGCTAGTGTTGGGAAACTGAGCATGGGACCCTTCGGTGGCCCTGCCACTCTATCAGGCACATGCTTGTGTGAGTCTGTGTGTGTGTAAGTGCGGTGTGGTCTTCTCTGTGTGGTGTGAGAATGTGTATAAGTACCCAAGGAGCCCGTACACCATCCCTTCTCTTCCCTTAGCATCCTTGACTGCCTCCCTGTAAGTTAGTGGGTTACTTAGAAGGACAGAAGGCAGGCTGGAGGGTAAAGGGGCGGGGTCATGAAAATGAGGTGATGAAGACAGCAAGACACTGATGTGGGACCAGGTTGTTGGTTTCCATGGTGAGTCAGGCTGAGAGAGTTATAGAGGCTACTGATGAGAGGGGGCTTGGAGACTCAGACGCCTTAATTACAATCAGGTGTCACAGTGATTCAGAAATGTGGAAACAAGGCTTCCTGAATCTGACCCCTACCCATGTCACAGCCACACTGACCATGGGGTTTGTGACTACAGACTCTTCCCTCAGAGTAATTGGGCCTTACATCCTTGCAGGAGGGACGAAAGGAGACTCATGCAGAGGTAATAACACGGCATTGATCTTTACCCTATAACCATACCCCAGGAACAGCTTCGCGTAGGACACAGGGACCCTACCCCATCTGAATCCCCACTGGCTAGAGTCAGAGTTCTCAAGGGCATTCGTAACCCAGGCAAAGCTTCTATTATCAGGGACCATAGCCTGGGAGAGAGGATCCAGCTAACTGTCACTCAGACTTCGTAGAATGCTGTGCCACTTTGTCCCGAGAGAGAGAGCGTCCAGCTCCAGATCACACTGCTCCACTGTGGAGACTTGAAGCCCACAAGCCATGCGGCTTCCTTCTGGTCCTCCTCTAGAGCTACAGGAGCTGAGGTTGAAGCTGGCACTTCACCATATGTGGTAGACCTTGGGCACAGGGGAACAGGCAGATGAGCGGGGTTGGCACTGATGGCGAGGGGACCGAAGACTTCTCTAAGCTGCGATGCCCCTGTGGGTGCCCCTCACCAGGCTGAGCTATTCTTACTCACTTGGTGGTGGCAGTAGGGACAGAGATAGGGACCAGTGGGAGAAAGTCATGAGCACAGGCCCCTTATCTGACACGTTCCCTGGAAACTTGGCAGGGGCAGCTGCTCTCTGGAGGCCCAGGCAGAGGGGGAGCAGGTGGTCACAGGATGCACCGGTGGGGGTTGGGCTGTCTGCAGGCACCGTCTCTTCTACAGCAAGGCAAGGTCCTCTCAGAGGTGGCCTGGGCTTTCCAGTGGGATTTCTTTCCCTCTGTCTTTACCATACTCACTTAACACACACAGAACACACATCCGTTGTCCTCGTGGCAGAGCTTTGGCCGCTTCAGAGGGCGGTAGGTTTGCTAGCTCAGTGCGGAGGCTGCCTCTCAAGCACAGAGCCAGCCTGGGTGCCATAGCCCCAGCAGCTTCTCCCTGTGAGACCTTCCTTAGGAATGTCGCTTGATTTTAGGGTGGGGGCAAGCATTGTTTATTTGTTGAGACAGGGTCTCATTTATTCCAGGCTAGCCTCAGGTACTCAATGTGGCAGAGAATGATAACCTTGAATTTCTAATCTTCCTGACTCTGTCTCGAGTGATGGGGTTACAGGTGTGTGTTACCATGCCCGATTTACCCAGGGCCGGATCTAGAGCCCAGGACTGCCTATATGTTGGGCAAACACTCTACCAACAGAGATACATCTTTGAATTACACCTTGCTCATCCCTTTTCTGGGTTACTATATGGATGACAAGGTCAAACAGATGGGAAGGAAAGCTAAATATGCAACTTGTCTGGGTGTGTGTATGTGATCACAGGTGTGTGTGTGTGTGTGTGTGTGTGTGTGTGTGTTCATGCGCACGTGTGTATGTACACGTGCATATGTGCTCATGTGGAGGGGCTAGGATGGAGGGAGGAAGTCATACGGGGCCCCCACCTTTGGAAACTCCCACCCATGGATTTTCCATTGGCACGTCGGCACCCTCTCCCCCAAAATAGGCCCTGCAAGCCGAGTGCGACAGTGCCCAGGCTGAGGGACCTTTTTTTAGCTGCCCTCCGACTGTCAGCACTTGAACAGCTGCTATTTCCAGCCCCAACGCCTAGAGGAGCAGGGCCAAGTGGACTGCGGCTCACTCAGTTGACCTGGCTGGCTCCCTGACGGTATCCCCAAGCGGCCAGTCCTGCTGTTGATACCCTGCACTGCAGCAAGGCACTTGTGGGTAGAGGCCTCAGCATCCCCCCCACCTCCAGAGAGCTGCAGATATTGAAAAAAAAAAAAAGCCAATCACATTTATGGAGTTCATCCCGAGGACCACCACCCATTCTCCACCCAGATAAGCATGCCCGTGGGGCTCCCTGAGATAGTATAAAGGGAACCCTGACTCGACACGGGCCGACACCTTGTTGGGCTTAGAGGTGATGGGGGCAGCTACTACTATTGTTGTCACCATAGCTGCAGTCATTCTAGCGTTTGTTGTTATGGTAACTCTCTAAGAATCAAGCTTTCTTTCAGTAATTTGTTTGTGTTTGTTTGTGAGA